GCAGAATAAAATCCAAAGAGGTCAAAACAAAGTAAAAGTGTGAACTTTGAGAAATAAAGCAGTGCTAAGAACCACTTTCACCCTGAGAGTATTTTCTAAACCCCAGAGAACTTTGTTGGTGTTTTGATGACTTCATAGAAAGAGGGAAATTAGTAACTAAGCCTAGATGGAAAGTCTTAACAGATGATCCCTTGTTGTATAAAAAAAACACCCTAAAATTTATTGGCCTAAAATAACAATGTATTATTACATACTATGGACTGACTGGGCTCAGCTGGGAAGTTCTCTCTTTGAAAGCCTCTTAGGCTATAGCCAGAGAGAGGTTTTAGTCATCTGAAAGCTTAACTGTCAACCAGGAGGACTTACTCACATGGGAGGCTGATGGTTGGAAGCTCTTTACATTATCTTACATTACATTATCACCAGTTGTCTTGGTCTTCTCACAGAATGATGGTTGAGTTCCAAGAGGGAGCATCGTCAGAGCAATATTCCAAGAGACACAAGCAGAAGCTACAAAGCTTATTAAAAATTAATGTTGGAAGTCCCAGAATGTCACCTCTGTTGTATCCTATTGGCCAAACATGTCATTAAGTCCAACTAACATTCAAGAGGACAAGAGTTGGATTTCACTTTTTAATTTGATCAACAGCATGCACATACATGTAAAGAAAGAATTGATGTTGACTATTTTGGAGAAGATCTTCTGTACCTCTAAATAAAGCCAGAGTGCTGTAATCTCCACTCTCAGTCTAAGAGCATATGAGAAAAAAATTTATCATACAGAAGGAAACAGAATGAACCTTGCATGTCTAGACCCCTCCCTCAGGTAAAGGTGGAAAAATGTCTCTACTAAAAGTTTTAAAACTTTTTTCCCTAATTTGAGGGTTATACCAAGATCCTGAGGTCCTATCTGAGCCAGAACACCAGACAGGCCCCTCTGATCATCAGCCATTGTCCATACTGATCCTCTGACCAAGACTGCAGATTCCTTTTATACAAATCAGGCCCTAGCATTTCCACCCCACACTTAGAATGCAGACATTTTTGGGGACAAGGAATCAAGGGAAAAACTAGAAGTCTTTGGGCCTAGAATTCAGCCTCCTCAGCACATCATATAGTTAATATTTTTGAGACCTTTCAAACTCTGCATGTAATTTAGCCTCTGTTTTCAAGCTGAGTTTCTTTGCTCTCTCTGTAGATTTTTATGCCAGTTCCATACTCTTTTCTAATTATTAGAGCTTTGAAATACATATTAACTTTTTAACAAGTCCTCTCGTTATATTTTTCCTTGTGGCTTTTATTAGCCTTAAGAAGCTGCCTCTATTTACTTAGGGATGAAATGTCCTTAAAGGAAGGATCTCCCATCACTGTATCCCCTGAATTACCTCACTTCTCACCTCCATTCTCCCCTGATAGGGTCTCTCCATTCAAGCTCTTTTCCAAGAAGAAAAATGAATTCTCTATAGAAAGACATTACCTTGCTTATCTCTCACTCTTAATCTGTTTTTGGCCAGTTTGACATCATTTCTACTTCAGAATAAATTGCAAATTGGCTTAATTAAATTTTAAAACAGAAAATTGGTCATTTAAAATAGTTACAAAAATATATAATGACATTTGCTTAAGTTCCCACTGAAAAAGCACAGTTCCAGGATCATAATTATATTAAAATTTACACAACAAAAATTCTTTCTCCCAGTTGAACAATTTATGTACTTGCTTGAGGAGATATCTAATCTCTCAAATATGAAGAAATGTATCTGAAACCCCAGGACAGTCTTAGCTTTCATTTTGGTAAATAAAGAGTTCCATTTTGTTTTTTGCCTTAAGGACAACATTCATCACCAAAATAGAAAACAAGATGCTTCACCCTGGCAGTAAAAACAAAAAGTCTTGAAAAAAGGAATGTCATTAAGCTATCTCTTCCTCTGTCTCTCTCTCACACACACACACTCACACCTCACACATCCTATAAACTTAAAGTACACTAATAACCCATGACCCTTGATTGCTCTTGGTTATTCCCAGCTTTATCTGGACTATCTTAATTATATTTGGAGAGTTGTTGAGATTTCTAGTTGCCATTTGAAAATTCCTATGACTTTTTCTTCAAGTGCATCATCTTTCTACTCTCCTCAGCTACAAGGAACTGCTGCTTAGGTACAGGCCATGCCTGCCATGGATGCCTAACTGGCAGTTCTCTTTCCACCTCATTGCAGTGCAGGATATGTGGCTTCTACCAGCTCCTTTACCTCTCTTCCAGCTGAGACTTCTATGATTTAACCTCAATTCAACTCCAGTTGTAGACTCAGATCATCCTCATCCGGAGAAACTCCTTCTTTCCTGGTTTAGTTTAGGAGCAGGTGTGTAATCTCAGTCGGTTTTATCAAAAGGAAGCTCATGACTTTTGTTAGCTAGTTTAGGCAGGAGATATCCTGTTTCTTCTTCTGTATGCAAGTAAAGTAGCAAGTAGCCTCAAGCTGCTTGCAATCAGCTTGTTCCGTTATGGGGATTTGACCATGAAACCAAGCCAATAACTAGAGATGGAGGCTCACAAAACCATGGTGAATAGAGCCCGAAGTCCAACTTCTTTTTGCTATGTTTCAATTATGTGAGATAATGATTGTTTAAATTACTTAGATTTAGATTTTCTGTTACTGCAACTAAAAAATATCCAGACACACCAAATCACCTCTGACCCCAGGAAGTGATACCTCTCAATCCAAAAGGGTACACCCCTCCCATGGCAGAGCTAGGCAGGCATCTCTAAGGGTTCCAAATCCAAGTCTAGTCCTTTTCTGCTTTTCTTGGTCCTGTCAGCACTCAATTTTCATTTCTGGGCATCTTTTTTTCTTCTTTGTTTTTCAAAAACAAAGAATTAATTTGAATTATAATATTTAAATTTTTTTATTTCAGCAGTACATTTTTGCATATTAGATAGTTAAATAGTTGTTAAAAGGAAAAAAGTTCCCACCCTATCTTCTCACCTGCAACTTCTCTCTGGAAGTAATCCCTGTCAATTCTTTTCACTGTTCTGGGCTTTGGGTCCCATTGCTAAATAACATTTTTATATCTTTATTCATCTGTTTCTAGATTTAGTTATTATGTGTTCTCTGTGATAAAAGATGGGGACTTAGATTTCTTACACCTCTACACTCCTCCTCCAAATTCAAATCTTCTCCTCTCATTTCTTGAAAAAAGTTATACCATAGTATTTTGCTATTTACATTATTCTGCATGTAAATATTATTCAAAGCTAAACCATGTAGTATACTATTTCTTTTCTTAAAAAAGTTTTTCTTAGTATTTAATATAATAATTACATTGTCTCTTCACTTGCTCATCTTTCTATGTATCTCTAAGAAAAATATAAATCCCTCTAATGTATGCAAATCAATTTGTTTCTTGTTCTTCGGCTACATACCAACATCCTGGGAATTCTTTTCACTTTCTCCTTTGTTGGATTGTCTGTTTCCTACATGTCATGTTTCCTTCCATCTTGGTTTAATCTGCTATTTTGGAAAAGCAGATCCTCCAGTAGGTTTCTGATCAAAAGTGCAAGGGTGATAGAATTGTTAAGACTTCTCATACTTTCTACCTACTCTCTCATTTATTTGTTGTTTTTTCCATGTCTAGACCTTTTTCTCCAATGTGTAGTAGTCATTAACTATTCATAATTAAGAGTGAGACTCTAACATGTTAATTATATACTCTCTCTCTGAGTGCAAGAAATTATTTGCAATGTGGGTTTCCCTGTCAAAAAGATAAAAGGGCAGGCCCTGACTTTTGTGTTGGGGAATCCTCAACCATGGAGTATATGGTGGTCTTTTCCTTGGGTTGGGAAGTTTTTCCATAGAAGGATCCCCCAGGCTCTGTCTTGACAGGATATGCCTGTCATCACTCTAGCAGTTGAGTAAGGGAAGGGTTCTGGGGCTCTTGTTTACCATGAAGGCTTTCACTTAGTCCTGCCCAAGCTGCAGAAGATTACCTCCCTCCCACCCTCCACTGTGCCTGGAGTCAACAAATCAGAAGAAAAAACATCCATCTTCAGTCTTCTCATGAGAGTGAGGAGAGGTATGTGCCTGGTGAGGGAAGAGAACTCTTATTCTGACATTCAACCAATCTTCCTGGAGGTTTTCAGGGGGATCAGTGGGAGAGGTACCCAGCCAACTATTCATAGAAGTTTTTTAACTTTTATGAGCTGTGTGAACTTGAACAAGTGTCTTGATTTCTCTGAACTTCAGGTTCTTCATCTGTAAAATGGAAACACAGGGCTTTGCTGTGAGTATTAAATGGAATCAATGAATGTTAAGTACATGTCACAGGTTGCCCAGCATAGAGAGGACACTGAACTGTTGGAGATACAGTGGTCATAGGAGTAGTTGGTAGTTGCCTTAGCCTTGTTTCTGTGAACAGAAAGGATCCCTTCCCACTATCCAGTGCTTTTCTATACTCACAAAAGGAAAGCTACTTATGTTCTGCGAAACTTTTAACAGAATTTCAGGGCTACCACAAATTTTGCAACTTGTCCTCCAACACACCCTCTCTGAGTGCCCAACCAAACCCTTAGAGCCATCTCCTCTATTCTAGCTCCTATCTTAGCAAGATTGAGAACTGCATGAAGTCAGTCTGAACCCAAATCTCAAGAGTAAAACTGACCACCTCCCCCCCTATTCTGTACATAATCCTTCTCCCTGCATAGGCCATCTGGTATGGAATATAATGAAAAGTAACACCACTGTGCTTGGCATTTTTTTATTGGCCTGACACTTCAGATTTTAAGACGGTAGTAGAGAATGTTTCTGCTATGTTCCTCATTTTGTCTCAACCACTGAAAATATACCTAATGAAATGTTTGAAGTAAGTCTTATTAACAAAAGTCATGGACAAATAGACATTGCAAATCAACCTTTGCTGTGAATGGTATAAATAAATACATGGTCTTTTGGATTCTATGTGTTAATGAAGGTGGACACAGGGATATAAGAACAGGCCTCATCTAGAAACCTCTCATATTCTTATTTCCTTTTTCAACCACACACAACAGGAAAGCTGCACTTTGTCTTCTGTGGATGACCTTTTCTGAATGCAGACCTTAGTCTGTCCTTAAAATTCTCCCCAGCAAAATAATAAAGCAAAGGATCAAGGCAGCTATTAGCTGCCGCCAAGGCCAGTGTGATGATCACGGCTTTATGCAGCCTGTCTGTGCACGTACCCACTTTCCACACAACCAGGTGAAAGGTTCTCAGTATGTGATAGGGCAGGAAACACAGTAGAAAGATGATCAAGGCAATGATGATGGTGATCAGCGCCTTCTTGTGAGAAACCCGCAGCCCCAATTCTGGGACCTCCATCTTTAACAGGGCTCGAATAATCAGCAGGTAACAGATGCTGAGCGTGCAGAATGGCATCAGGAAGCCCACCACTAAGGCAATATGGTTCATGGTCTGCAATTTCACAATTTTATTGAAATTCAGTTCTAAGCACAATGTGATATTACCCTCCTGTTCAGAGCCAGTGTTCAGGAGTGTTGTTGAAGAAGCCATGATAAAGATCCATATGATCCCACATACAACCCAGGCACTTCTGATGTTGGTGATATGGAGGAACCGCAAGGGGTGAACAGTTGCCAGGTAGCGCATGACACTCAGCACAGTTAGGAAATAAATGCTGCTATACATGTTGACGTACATGGAATACGACATAATCCTGCAGGCCAAGTCACCAAATATCCAGTTGGAGCCTCTTAGGTAATAGTCAGCCCTGAAGGGCAGTGTGGTTGTGAACAAGAGATCAGAAATGGCCAGGTTTAGCATAAAAACATTCACAGATGTAAACTTTTTATAAGGTTGCAGAAAAACATATATGGAAAAGCCATTTCCCAAGGTTCCCCAGACAAATATTATCAGGTACACGACAGGATAAAAATCCCTCTTGAAGTTTTCAGTTGTGCAGTTTCTGTGGCTGTCGTTATTGCTGAAGGTGCCATTGGGTTCCATTTCTGATACAGAGGTGGATAGAGGCAAGGATATAATTTTTCTCTCCATGCTGGACTGAAAAGAAACAGACACAAAAAGTTACTTCCTGATCACTGCTTACATCTTTCCAGGTTTTAATGAAATAGAGAGAAATACTATTTTTTTAAATTTGAATAAAAAAATTAGATAAATTTTACTATTGCTCCATTATATTTTATGATAAATTCCTAGGATGTAGAATGAACATTAATTATTTGGTTGAAATTAAAGCCTCAAACTTAGGAGACTTTTGGCCTAGTGCCCACGTTCACATGAATGCCCTGTAACACTGCAGTCTGAATCTACTGGACAGCATATTTCTGATCAAAATTTATGGAAAGCAGAAGGAAACAGCACAACATTTTTCAAGTGCTGAAAAAAAGGACCTACCAACCTAGAGTCCTATATGCAGCAAAAATATTCCTTAATTATGAAGGCAAAATCAAGACCTTCTGAGATGATAAAAAAATAATAATTTGTTATCAGAAGACCTACTTTAAATAATGAATAAAAGAAGTTCTCTAAATAGAAAAGAATCAAGAAAAAAGGAGCCATGGTATACCATAAAAGAAAAACACAACAAGCAAAAATATGGGTAAATACAATAGGATTTTCTTCTCTTTTTGAATCTAAGTTATGTTTGATGATTGAAACAAAAGTTATAAAACTGTTTGATGGGGTTCTAAATGGATGTAGAGACAATTTAAAAAATAATTATAAATAAGGGAAAATAATGGAGTAATCACCTGGAAAGCAGTGGAGCGATAGTGGGAGAGGAGCCTTGGTGCCGCGGACAGTGGATTCGACTCTCACACATCCCAACGGGTGAGAATTGCGGTGGAGGCTCGAGAGGGTGGGCCGGGTGCGCACGGGCACTGGCACCAGAGGGACATTGAAACGGCCAGTTAGCGTCCCCCCGAGAAGAACGGGGTCTGAATCATAAACAGGAACCCCTAAACTACAGCAGCTAAAGCCAAGAAAATACAGATAAAATGCAACCCCAAAAAGCTTAGGGGCGCTCTCTGCCAGAGACAGGTGGCTGGGGATGCAAAGAGACATTTAAAGGGCAAACGCAAAAGTTGCAGCGGCAGCCACCCTCCTTGATCGCTGGGTAGAGGCGGCAGCAGGGTGGGCTGGTGCCTGGGAAAAGACTGGTGAGGAAAACTTTGTGAAGAGAACTGACACTGCCGCCCGTGGAGCCCGGGTGATAACGCACTTCCCACTCTGCAGCTACCATCTCGCTCAGGCATAAGGGAATCAATTAACCTGACTTTTGTGCGCTCCGCACACAGCTTGTACGCCTGTGAGCTACGGGGCTGAGTGCAGACTGGCTGGGAGAGCCTTGAAGAGAGACTGGAGACGGAGGCATTGGGGAAAGAATGGGAGGAGGAACCGGGGAGTCCCGACTCCCTCCCCGTTCGGTAGTCTCCATTGTGGGCTGGAAAGGTGCGACCCCAAAGAGGCAGAAGCGGGGCGCGCATGAACCAGACTGCCTGCGATTGAAACACAGTCCGCACAGGGGTTGGATCCTTGGCCGAAGGGGTCACAGAACTGCCCAGAGGTCCCTGAGGAGAGACTAGAAACGGAGGCATTGGGGAAAGAACGGGAGGAGGAACCGGGGAGTCCTGACTCCTTCTCCTTGCGGAAGTCCCCATTGCGCGGGAAGAGGCCACACCCCCAAAGAGCCAAAAGCCGAAAAGCAAACACAGACACCCCCAAAACACCCAGAGCAGGCGCGCACACTTGCGCCAAGTGACTGGCGAGGGTTGGCGAGCGTGTGTGTGACCCACGCAGGCTGGCGAACGCTTGCACCTGCCGGCAAGGCCTCACACAGACTGGCACCCATACGGCCTGCGAGGGATTGCACAGAGGGGCAAGGGCAGGCGTAAATTGACCTACCCGCCGCAATTGCGGAGCAGCCCACAAAATAAGTAGAGCTGCCCAGAGTCCCTGGAGGAGAGACCAGAAACAGGATTAACCGGAGAGTCCTAGAGCTGATTTCCTCCCATTTCCGTAGTCCCCATTTGGCGAGGGCAAGCAATGCACCCAAAGAGCCAAAAGCGGGGAAAACACACAATAGAAGACTCTAAACTGACCAGTGCCACGAAGCTCGCGTGCCAGGGAGGCCAGATGAGCATGGGAGGTCGCGAATAAGCCCCCTGGTCTGGGGCAAACACATGCGAGTCCAGGCAGGTGGGGGACCCTGCCGTGCTGGAAACGCGCTCGAGGAGCCCGCATGAGAGCGCAGAGAGATCCCAAAAAATAGCCCAGCCCTGACCAAAGGGGTCACAGAGCTGCTCCAAGCAGGAGTCAGACACAGGCATTAGACTCCTGAAAGGCTCAAACAAACAACCCAAGGCCCTATAGGGTCAACAACTGACATCATCAGAGGCAAGCCCAGAAAGAAAAGTAAAGGACAAAAATACTGAACAGACTCTCACAAAAATGGGAAGAAAAAGAAGTTCCCCCCAAATGAGTGGAAAAGGGGACTCCCCACAGAGAGAGCTCAATGAAATAGAGGCAAGGGAACTATCAAATATGGAATTTAAAACAATGGTTCTAAGGAAGCTCAATGAGCTCAGCCAGCTCAAAGATAACTATGAGAAACTGCAGAGAAACTATCAGGATCTTACAGCAAACTATATCAGCCTGGAAAAGGACATAGAAACTATCAAGAAGACACAAGAGGATATGAAGAATACCATTTCTGAATTGAAGAACACAGTAGAAGGAATCCAAAGCAGGCTGGATGAAGCTGAGGATCGAATCAGTGAGATGGAGGACAAGGTAGAAAAAAGCTCCCAGAAAGAACAAGAAATGGAAAAACGGCTCAAAAAGAATGAAGAAGCATTTAGGGAAATGCAGGAAACCTGAAACGCAATAATATCCGTATAATAGGGATACCAGAAGGAGAAGAAGAGGAGCAAGGAATAGAGAACCTCCTCAAAAAAGTAATGATGGAAAATTTCCCTAATTTGAGGAGAGAAAGGCTCTCATGGATCCAGGAGGCACAGAGGACCCCACTCAAGAGGGACCCAAGGAGGTCCACTCCAAGACACATCATCATTAAAATGGCAAATGTCAAAGACAAAGAGAGAATCCTGAAGGCAGCAAGGGAGAAGGAGAAAGGAACATACAAGGGGGCCCCGATACGCCTAGGAGCTGACTTCTCAACAGAAACACTACAAGCCAGAAGGGAATGGCAACAAATATTCCAAGCCATGAAAAGCAAGGGCCTACAGCCAAGGCTGCTCTACCCAGCTAGGCTCTCCATTAAAATAGCAGGAGAAATACGGAGTTTCCCAGACAAAAGAAAGCTAAAAGAATACATCTCTACCAAACCAGCACTCCAAGATATGCTAAGGGGACTGGTTTAAGCAGATGAAGGAAAAGAATGAGACAGAGAGGAACACAAGTACAAAGAGAAAAGATGAGTAAGTTTCTATCAGTAATATCTCTCAATGTGAATGGACTAAATGCCCCAATCAAAAGACACAGGGTAGCTGAATGGATAAGAAAACATCACCCACACATATGCTGCCTACAAGAGACCCACCTCAGAGCAAAAGACCTACACAGATTGAAAGTAAAGGGATGGAAAACAATATTCCAAGCAAATGGACTTGAGAAAAAGGCTGGCATTGCCATACTTGTATCAGACAAAGTAGATTTCAAAGCAAAGGTCATAAAGAGAGACCCAGAGGGGCACTTTATCATACTTAAAGGAAGAATCTATCAAGAAGACATCAACATTGTAAACTTATATGCTCCCAATATAGGAGCCCCCAAGTTTATAAGGAAATTGTTGGATGACTTCAAAAGAGATATAGACAGCAACACACTGATAGTAGGGGATTTCAACACCCCACTGTCAAAAATGGACAGATCTTCCAAACAAAACATTAATAAACATATCGTGGCGCTGAATGAACACACTGAATCAAAGAGACTTAACAGACATATATAGAACCTAACATCCTAAAGAAGAAAAATACACATTCTTTTCAAATGCTCATGGCAGTTTTTCAAAGATAGACCACATGATAGGACACAAAGCAAGCCTCAGTAAATTCAGGAAAATGGAAATAATACCAAACTTTTTCTCAGACCACAAGGCCTTGAAACTCGAAATCAAACTCAAAGAGAAACTTCAAAAACTTGGAAACTCATGGAGACTGAACAGTAGACTATTAAACAATGAATGGGTCAATAATGAGATAAGAGAAGAAATCAAAAAAATTCTGGAAACAAATGAAAATGAACAGACAACTGTCCAAAACCTATGGGACACAGCAAAGGCGGTCCTGAGAGGGAAGTTCATAGCAATACAGGCTTACCTAAAAAAGATAGAAACATTTCAAATAAAAGACCTAACACTACAACTTGAAGAACTGGAGAAACAACAACAAATAAATCCCAGAGCAAGGAGAAGGAAGGAAATAGTCAAGATTAGAGCAGAACTGAATGACATAGAGACGAAAAGAACAATTCAGAGGATCAACCAATCCAGAAGCTGGTTCTTTGAGAAGATTCATAAAGTTGACAAACCTTTAAGCAGACTCATCAAGAAAAAGAGAGAGAGGACCCAAATTAATAATATCAGAAATGAAAGAGGAGAAATAACAACTGATACCACAGAAATACAAATGATCATCAGAAACTATTATGAACAATTATATGCCAAGAAATTTGAAAATCTTGATGAAATGGACAAATTTTTAGAAAAGTATAATCTTCCAACACTGAAGGAGGAAGAAACAGAAAGCTTGAACAGACCGATAACAGTTGGGGAAATTGAAGCAGTAATCAAGAAACTCCCGGCACACAAACCCCAGGGCCAGACGGTTTCCCAGGAGAATTTTACAAAACATTTAAGGAAGAGCTAACCCCTGTCCTTCTCAGACTATTCCAAAAAATCCAAGAGGAGGGAAGACTCCCAGACTCCTTCTATGAGGCCAGCATCACCCTGATCCCAAAACCGTATAAAGACCCTACAAAGAAAGAAAACTACAGGCCAATTTCGCTGATGAACATAG